CTTTTCTTTTCGTCCATTTTTATTTTAAGATGCTGTTCTGTTTAAGGATTCCTCTCAGGAGATACAATGTAGTCCCTAGGACAACGATTTCACTTGTTTGGTCTTCTTTACTTGTTTCCTTTTTTTTTGATTTCTTTAAATAAAAAGCTTAAACTAATATTTGTGTTTTAACCTTTCCAGTCAAAACTTTAAAAAACAGTTTAATTTTTAAAAACCAACGTAAAACTCGAACACAACGTGTTGGGAAACCTTGGGAGCTTTTTATTCTTGTTCTCCGTAAAAAATTGAATCTGAAAAATAGCGTTTCGATACTCTTCAAGTATGATATGTTCTAAAAAATTTTAGGTTTTCACCAATAGCCAAACTCCCGTTCATATCGATGCAAAAAGCTTCAAGTCTCTCTCTAGATAGGAGACGAAGCCAATACGTTTATATCATTCTACTCTCCATAATAGCACAAAAAAATTCAAGCATCGGTTTTGGAAAACATTGTTGTTGTTGAGAAAATAAATTTTTTTGAAACAGGAAGCAGAAAAAAAGGAAATTCACTTATATTTTGCAGTTTTCACTGTCAAACTTCATGTTTTTTGCAAAAACAATACCATTTTTGGAATCAGCATCTGAAACTGAATTGGTTGATGTATGTTTCAAGAGTTTTGGACAAATTTCATTTGTCCACAAAAATTTTGGTCGAAACAATCGAAAAAGATGAAAGTTGTCCAAAACTCCTGGAACATTTTACTTATTGCTAAACAGACTTTTTTGTTTCCTTGTGTGTGTGCCTGGATCCTGGACTTTCATGTATACGGTATAATAGTTTCACTCTACCATACCATACGGTATACTGTATAGTATGGTATATATACACTCTATAGAGTGTGAACTTTCTTACCTGTAATATCTTTAGAAGTATGATCAATTGATCGTGTGAGATATCCAAACATGCGTACGTCTTTGAAAATATTTTCATCAAGTTGATATTTCCTGTTATACTATTGTTTGGTTCTCTTCAATACATCTATTGATGGAACTTCACTAAAGTTTCCTTCTTTTAGAAGATCTGCATTAGCATATCGTAAATTACGTTCATAGATGGCTAGGGGTCCATGTTGATTAACTTCTTTTGCTAAAATAAAAATTCAATACAATAGATTCGTGAACAATTGAACATATACCCATAGCTTCTCGAGCAGCTCCAGTCAATGGACGGCCAGTCGTTTCCTTCTTTGGATCGTGTTTTTTATCACCTATAACCACCACTTTGAACATACATGGACTTCCTTTATTTTTCACTTCATGTTCAACGTCGATTTCGATCCTCACAGGACACTCGCTATTTTTACAGTGACCTCTGGCACTGAATAAATTGGAATTCTTTTTCCGTGAAGTAGGATCTCGAATATGATGATATCGAAAAATGATCGTACACGTGATACCAGTGTAACTAAATGCGGAGCAAGTTGATTTCCCCAACCATTGTATACATCATAGGTTTTGTGATCGTAGAAAGCTCGCCATTGCTCGTAAGTTATTGTAAAATACTGTACATTACGAGGTGTTAAAACATCTTTTGATCGCATAACTTTCGGTTCATTGGAAGGCACTATTGATAAAGCAGCATTACTGACCACCTATACATACATATAAATTATCATGAATGAAAAAGAATTGAGAAGAATAGGAGCTCACTGTGTGGCCGTATGTTATATCTGTTGCATCATCGCTGGGTTTTCGAACGGAATTGCCTGGAAGATCATCGATCTGTGTTGCCAAGAATGTTGTGCGAATTTTTCGACGATTGTCATGCCGTGTTGTATAGAGCCACTTACGAGTATCAAAGGTATCTTTCTTGGAAATTTGTGTTAAATCTGTCAATCGACCCCATATGCTATCTGATTTTGAATAGCCGTTGCTTTTGTCATCTAACCCATGATAGTCCGATCCTAGTTGCTTGATAGCTGCCGTAAATCCCTCTACACCACCCACTTCTGTCCAATAATCTTTCTTCTTGAGAAACTTGAACACCATTGCTTTGACCAATTGGAATTATATTTGTAAGATATTCGATCGAATTTTCTATGAATTCTGTACGAAATCATTCCCGTTTATAGAATCTATCATGCTCTCTCTCCTTCTCTATTTTATTTTCTAAGAAAGAGGACATAGGTGACGAATGATATCTCTTTCACTGTTTCTTTCTGAACGAGCGATACGGTTGATTAATTACAAGTGGGAAAATCAATTAGAAGAGAAAAAATGAAAAAGCATGCAACAGGTCAGAATGAAATTCAATTTGTATTATTCATACAATCTTTTGATTCACGATGGCTGTCCCTTTATAACTGGTACTGCTATTCTATACAATCAATTTAGTTAAAACGATTACACTTTCACCAATGATAAATATACCTACAGCTGATGCAATTATTAACATTGACAAAGCATTTATGCTTCAACGCATCGGTCA